TGTCTTTTTACTCTTTTGGTGAAGTCTTTGGATGAGCATAAGTGTTTGATTTTTAGGAGCTCCCAGTTATCTAGTTTGTCTTCTGGTGTTTGCACATTGTTACGCATGGTTTGTATTCTCTTTATGACATGTATTAAGGGCTCCTAGCATTGTCCCTATTTTTTCTTCCATGTTCTTTATCGTTTTCGATTTTATATTTAGGTCTTTGACCCATTTTGAATTAGTTTTTGTGCATGGTGTGAGGTATAGGTCTTGTTTCATTTTTTTGCAGATGGATATCCAGATATGCCAGCACCGTTTGTTAAAGAGACTGTCTTTTCCCCAGTTAACGGACTTTGGGCCTTTGTGAAGTATCAGCTGCTTATAGGTGGATGAATTTACGTCTGGATTCTCAAGTCTGTTCCATTGGTCTGTGTATCTGTTGTTGTATCTAATCTTTCTTAAAAGATTCTTAAAATCAATCTTCTTCACCCCGAGGTTTACAAATTCTCCCTTTAGTCCTCTACTATTTAAATAGTTTTATTTTTTAAAATTTAGATCTTTTATCACCTGGAAATTCGTGCTGTATGTAGTGTGTTAGTGGGATAATTAAAAACTTTTTTATTGAATATAATAGACACACAGAAAAGTGCACAAGTTCTAAAGTGTAGCACTCAATGAATTGGCACAAACTGACCCAACACCCAATGTTACCGGCACCCAGATGAAGACATAGAACATTGCCAGCACGCCTGAAAGGCCACTTTTGTGCTCTTGCAGCCACTACCCCCTGTACCCCTGGGAGAGCTGAGTGCCTTTGCACAGGAGGTTTCCTGGCGGAGTGGGGAGACTCCGGGCACTTATCATTGGAGCTAGGCTTGCCAACCCATAGAGTAAGAGGGCTGTTTTTTGGCTGAAGTTTACTGGCGGAGTGGGGTACTTCCAGGCACCTATTGGTGGAGCTAAAGAGCTTTGGAACGCTCTGACCAGAGGGTCCTGGACAGAGTTGGAGAAGTATATAGAACAAAATTCTAACTCACAAAAAAAGACCAGATTTACTGGCCTGACAAGACTGGAGAAACCCCGAGAGTATGGCCCTGGACACCTTTTTAGCTCAGTGGTGAAATCACTCCTGAGGTTCACCGTTCAGCCGGGGATTGGACTGCCCCATAAACAAAAACGGGACTAATGAGGCAGAGCAGTCCAGGGAAAAGGACTAGAAGGCAGGAGGGGACAAGAAAGCTGGCACTAGGGAGCTCAAGTTTGAGAAGGGACAGTGTTGACATGTCGTGGGGTTAACCATTGTCATAGAGCAATATGTGTACCACTAATTGTTCCGTAAATCTTCATCTAAGGTACAAAAAAAAAAAAAATTATCTATGTGAGATCAAATTGATAGCAGCAACTCAAAAGAAGCCTATGGGGCAGTGAGTTGAAGATAATGGTGATGGAATAATTTGGAAAAGGAGAGTGAGAATAGCAGCATAACTGGAAGAATGTAATTGATGTCACTGAATTGTACATGTAGAAATGTTTGAAATGGTTTAACTTTGGCTATGTGTCTTTTCACCAAAAAAAAAAAAAAGCGTTCTCCAACGTTGAGAAGGGAGCGTGTTGACATGTCGTGGGGTTGTTAACCAATGTCATAAATATGTGTACTGTTTAATGAGAAACTATTTGTTCTGTAAACCTTCATCTGAAGTACAATAAAAAAAAAAATTTAAATAAATAAAAGTGAGAAGGCAGCAGAGGAGAGGGACCTACTACCATCAACAGTGAAGAACCATGAGGGGAGTGTGTCCTTTGGACCAGGGGTCCCTGCACTGAGAAGCTCCTAGACCAAGGAAGACTGATGACAAGAACCTTCCCTCAGAGCTGGCAGAGAGCGAAAGCCTGTTCTTGGCCCTGGCACCCTGAATTCAGACTTCTAGCCTCCTAGACTGTAACAGAATAAATTTCTCTTTACTACTGCCATCAACTTGTGGTATTTATGTTATAGCAGCACTAGTTAACTAAGACAGGATAATTTTATTTTCATGGAGACGGCTAAGTATGCCAACACCATTTATTAAATTAGCCACTGTTTTCCCATTGAATCAAAATGCCTCCTTTATTCATTGGTAACTTTCAGAAGAAAATAGATTTCTGTCTGCAGGGGATGGACTGCATAACCTAACGTCTAACCACATTACCTCTTCCATTATGGATCCTGACTGTCCTGTATCTGAAGCTTTGCAGATTGGTAACTGATTTTCTCCATATGCCCTGTGTGTGTCTAAATAGTCAGAAGAGCACTGATCGTACTGGCTCACTCAGAGAGGACGTCCTTCAACTATGCCATGAAGGAGGGTGCTGTAGAGACTTTGAAGAGGAAAGGATGGGAGGTCACCGAGTCAGACCTCTATGCCATGAAGTTCAACCCCATCATTTCCAAAAATGACATCAAGGGTAAGACCATCTTTTCCCTTAAATTAGGGCTTTGTGAAACTTCTTGGCTGTGGGTTCTCTGGCCCAGCGTCAGCACCCCCGGCCTCAGCCTCTTTTTCTTCTCTGCAGGTAAACTAAAGAACCCAGAGAACTTTCAGTATCCTGCTGAGTCTGTTCTAGCTTATAAAGAAGGTCGTTTGAGCCCAGATATTGTGGCTGAACAAAAGAAGCTGGAGGCTGCAGACCTTGTGATATTTCAAGTATGGTAGGGGGTGTTGGGACACCTGAGTTCTTTTGTCCTAGACCTATTACTATGTAGATATGTGATCTCAGAAAAGTCATTTAACCATTTTACTGCATTCTCTGTAAATCGGGGTACTTCAAAGGTGCAGTATTACACAGATTTACAGATATTATGATTTGCTTCTGTTACTCTTTGGGTATATGAATGTGACTGCAAAGATGACATATACACTTTGAGCTTTTTTCCCCCTTGTACCTGATCTTCCCTTCACTTGGTCATTCCTAGTGGATTCTCTCAGAGTTTGCAGTTTTCTCTGTTTCTCCTTAAGCATCCTCAATAGTTTCTAGAGTGATGCATGAGAGATTGACCTGTTTGCCATGGTAATCTTCCCAGCTGAAGTGTGCATTGCTCTGCTTAATGTGTTCCAGCAGCAAATTATGACCTTTCTTCTCCCTGAAGCTGCCTCACCACTTAGCCGCCATTACTGGAACTGTCTAGGCATCTTGTCAATCTTCCTTAAAGGACCAGGCTGTATTCAATAACTTTGCTTTTTACCAATTCCAGGCAGCCTCTTGGCAGTATATGACATGAAACCTCACAAAGAGGGTGATACCCTCTGTGGTTTTTGTAGTTACTCAGTCAGCTGCAGAGAATGCAACCTTTGAAGTCCTTTATTGTACCCCCAAGCTTGTTGATATGAATCAATGCCACATGCCCCAACAGATGCCTTCTTGACCCAGGTTTTCTACCGTATCTTTTCCTAGTGCAGTTAAGGCAGTGGCAGTAGCAGCTTTCAGTTCTGCATCTCAGAATCACCATATTTTAGAATTGGAAAGGACCTTGGTGGTCTTTGCATTTAGCGTCTATTTGATGCATAAATTTTGTTCAGTATCAGTACAGTTGTGCAGGTTGTACACTGTAAAATAGTACTACATCTAAGGCAATGTAAACATTGCAGATTGGAATATTTATTATATCAGTTTTACAACAGATGACAAGAAAATACCTTATTCTAGCAAAATCAGTGTACTAAGACAGACTTTCAACATAAAGTATCCTTAGGAAGGAGGGCCTTAATGCATGTCAAGGTGCCACCTAGACTAGAACCCAGCTCAATTTTCTCACTTTTCTAAGAACTTGAGGGAGAGTGAACTTTTAATAACCCCAAGCCAACCAATTCCATTTTTAGCTCTGACTGTAGAACATTTACAAAGGACCAAATCTAGTTCCCTGAACAACCTACACATTTATCCTAAAAGCTGAAGATCTGGTCCCTCACAATTGGAGTCATAGTTGTAAGGATGTGAGACGTGACTAGAAAACATCCAAGCTCCTCTTTTTACAGATGAGGCAAATGAAACTTAGAGAAGTTACGGGGCTTGTGCAAAAAAGTTCGTGTTAAAAAGGTAGTAGCAGATTCAGGATGAGAACGTAAATCTCTCTGCCAAACCTATGTTCTTTGTGTTATAAGACCGTATCCTCTATTGCCCTTTTTTGTAGATTAAATATTAGAGGAAGCTATTAAGTCCTGCAAAGTCCTTCTTTGTTCTAGTTTCTTTTTCTTCTAGACGTGTTTCTATTGTCATTGTATTTAAATCATGAATTAAGGAAAAGAAATATTGGTATAGTCCTTGTAGTCTTTACTCTGTTTTTATCAGGACAAGAGGCCAAAAAAGACTGTCTCATGGGAATTCCCTGATAACCCTTAGTCAGTGATCATTTGTTTGCATTTTTGAGTGGTTTTGTTTAATCTAAATGGTATTATTTTACATTTGTGAGCTCAAGGTACATGTCATATGTTTTATACCACACCTACTAAAGCAAGCTCTTGAGAAAATATTGATTTAGGCATCATACATTGAAGCAAACCTTGTCTATGATCCTTTTGTTTAGACTTTCATGCCAAATGTGATTTCATATAAATAAATCTTCCTTACATGTGGCTTTATTCAGACCTACTCAAATATTTGTGTCTTTAGACAGAAGCAGAGTGTCAAATTGACTGACCAAGTATAATACTTCACTCTTTATTTTATGTGTTAACTCCTCCAGAAGGAATGACAAGGGCCTGAAGAAAGGCTCATCCCTACAGTGACATAGACAGCAGCTAAGCACTCTGAGCTGCCTTCTGTGCTGGGGGTGTCCCTGACTTGACCTTTTTTGGTGTCTTCTGTCCCACAGTTCCCACTGCAGTGGTTTGGAGTCCCTGCCATTCTGAAAGGCTGGTTTGAGCGAGTGCTCATAGGCGAGTTTGCTTACACATATGCTGCCATGTATGACAAGGGACCTTTCCGGGTAGGTAGATGGTTCTAATTTTTCCAACAGCTGGATTCTGTCCTGAGGCAAGTTTTGAGCACAATTAGATATTAAGATTAGAATCTAGCTCTTTTGGAAGAGATGTATAACCAAGTTTTTATAGATGAAATGACAATGTTTTAAGATTTGCTTTAAAATATTTTCCATAATAATAAAAAGTCTGTCTTAGTTTTTTGGAGAGCCAAATACTGCACAAGAAACACTTTGAGACCTTCTAGATTAAAGGTCCTATTCTACTACATGCCTAGCACTGTGGGGTGACTGAGATAAAAATGACAAATACCTCTACCAAGGCAGTCAGCACTGATTTCACATAATCATGACAGCCTTGCCACACCCAGGAGTATGGGCTCCTTTGGCTTGCCCCTGGCTACCTGTCTGTGTGCCATCTTCTAGGCTGGTACTTCTGAAGAGTCATACTGGGTGGCTCAGAGGAGCCAAAGTATGAAATAATATAAACAGCAAATGGAGTGGACTTGTGTGTTCTTTTCCCTGGGGTTGTTTCATTAACTTCCTGTCACCAAGGAGATGGTGGAGAGTAATGTTTTTTTTTTCTTTTACAGAACAAGAAGGCAGTGCTTTCCATCACCACTGGTGGCAGTGGCTCCATGTACTCTCTGGAGGGTGTTCACGGGGACATGAATATCATTCTCTGGCCAATTCAGGTAACTTGTTTTCAGTGAACTTTCAGGGGCATTAATTAATTGAGCTTTCTGTGGGGTCCAAAATCTCAAGACAGCAGATGAAAATAGATCTGAGTTGTGAAGATGAAAGAGCAATAATAATTCAGAACTACAGGGGGCTTCCTTTTAGGAATGTGCCTCTCTTTCCAGGCCCCTGTGCTTATAGAATACACCCGTGTGTGCACATATTCTAACATCGTCTCCCAACCAAGAACTAGAAAGCAGGCAGGTGACCGTATAGCCATGTGCCCTGATTCTGTTCAGATGACTAACACCTCTCTAATCTTCCTGTCCTCCTCCAAACTGCTGCTACAGTCTCAGACTGTTAGAGTCCATAAACATTTAAGAAACTATCTGGTCCAGCCAATTTTAGAGATGAGTCAAACTGAAGTCTGAAGTAGACTTTTTGGTGGTCCTGGGGTTTTCAAATAATCTCTTGTAAGAGGTTGGAAAGAACAGCAAATGAGGTGGCCACCCAGAAGAATCATTTGTGAAGAATCATCTAGTTATGTGGCGTGAGAGGCAGAGAAATGCACATCTGTGTGACTTTTCAAGAGTCAGCTGCCAAGAAGCTGAAATGCTCCCTTATGTAATAGAATTTCCGGCATTTTTGGCAGACGATCCCAGGCTGGCATGGTTTTAAGGTTTTATTCATTTAAAGAAGAGTACAGCTGGATAAGCTTAAAATAGGTAGCAGGTAGGTATAGGGAGGCAGAGAGAAGGTGAGAGAATATATTTTTGAACTGATTCTCCAGGTTACCTCAGACCTCCTTATTGAAGTGCAGGCAGTCCCAGGGTTATAAATGTCTGACTTACGTACAACCCGTAGTTACAGACCAACCCCATAAAGCCTTTTATATTAAAAATTCGAGGTACATACAATGGTTTGTAGTAACAAATGGGTGCTACTTTGCGACACGCATCAAAACATTATTATTACTGTATTATTAAAGATATTTTAGTGTTATCTGGAAGTGTTACTTCAATGTTTTTTATGCATAGAAAGGTAAACTGTATACTCAGACAAACATTTGACTAACTGACGTTAGATACGAACTGTACCTAACTGTTCCGACTTAGTACAGATTCCACTTAAAGACAGACTTAGGAACCGAACACGTTTGTAATCCAGGGACTGCCTGTATCTTATTGAGAAGCCCAGGGCAACTTTGTTGTTTGTGTACAGTATAAACAATATGGGATTTGTTCTGTGACTCACCTCTGTGCTTTGTGTATCCCCAGAGTGGCATTCTGTATTTTTGTGGCTTCCAAGTTTTGGAACCTCAGCTGACATACAGCATTGGGCACACTCCACTGGATGTCCGGATCCAGATCCTGGAAGGATGGAAGAAACGCCTGGAGAATATTTGGGATGAGACTCCATTGTATTTTGCTCCAAGCAGCCTCTTTGACCTAAACTTCTTAATGAAAAAAGAGATACAGGATGAGCAAAAAACCCAGAAATTTGGCCTTTCTGTGGGCCATCACTTGGGCAAGTCCATCCCAACTGACAGCCAGCTCAAAGCCAGAAAATGAGATGCATAGGACTTGATTTCCTTCTAAAATGCAGTTATATCTAGGTATCCTTTTCAAGATTCCTTGACTTGCTTTGGTTTTCAAAATTTGGGTTTTTCATGAGGAGTGAATAGAGAGAATAGACTGTACTTGTACACTTTTGGATAGTTTTATTCTTAAATTTTACTGATTCTTTTGATTGTTACCATGGCATATGACCAAAATCCAGTTAGGGTGAAGAGGTCACTTAGGATATAAAACGAAAGGGCGCAGAAATATGCTAGAGAATATTCTTAAGGTCATCTACACAATTTAATCCCTCTTTTTATAGCTAAATTTTTGTGTATGCTGTTGGCTAAACAGTATCTAGGAGCCCTGGTAGCACAGTAGTTAAGAGCTATGGCGAGCTATGGCTGCTAACCAAAAGATCAGCAGTTCAAATCCACCAGTCACTTCTTGGAAACTCTATGGCAGAGTTCTGCTCTGTCCTACAGGGTCGCTGTGAGTCAGAATCAACTTGACAGCAACAATTTTTTTTTTTTTAAATGGGTGAACAGCATCTAACTCTTCAGTTACCTATTTGTCTTTTAATTACCTCTCTGTGGTTTATGGCAAAGGGGAAATGTTCAGAGAAAGAAATGACTGAGTCTGTCCGACCTAAGGGACTTACCTTGTTTAGAAATTAGTTATCTAATGCTTGTTTATGATATATGTTGGTTTTAATGACTACAGTGACTTATATGCTTAACATGAGAGCGATTCTTCCTTCAACCTTTGTTGTCTGTATACAGTGCACGCAGATACATTGAAATGAAAAGCTAATAGAAGTTTCTTCTTTACCTCAATCTTCCAATTTAATGTTTGCAGAAATAAACCAACAGATACACACCCTACAACTGCTACACTGAATGAAATCAAGAAAGGGTACCTCCGATGCTTTAAAAAAATTTTAAAGTGTTTAAGATGATATATAGCTGCAAAAAGGAGGACGTAAAGAAAATGATAAAATTCTTATTACTAATCCATTAAGAACTCCATAATTGCCTTACAACAATTTCTATTAAACTTGAAATTATATCATTTTGGAGTTGTGAGGGACCATAGAAACCATTTCATTTACTAGTACCCCTCTTCCAACCACTCAGTAACAACAATTTTACAAATAACTGAATGCTTGTAGTCAGCCTTCTACCAAAAGTACTTGTGATCTGTAGTAAGTTCTGGAAGGTTATTTTCTGTACCATTGATAAACTGACAACTGCCCTTTTAATGATGTGTTTTGGTCCCATGACTTTTGGGATAAAATTGTAAGCCTAGACGTTCGTTTACTTTGGTGAACACTTTTGGCATAATATTCTAATTTCCCATTTAAATGATGTAAGTGTGTCTTTTCCCACTATTGGTATAATTCAAGTAGAATATGATAAAAGACCGCCCTCTTGTGGTACTTTAAAAGAAAATAAGAGAAATGATGCAAACTGACCTGCCAAGGTAAATGATGGCTACAGGCTGGAGAACCTCCTTTACCAGATGTTGACTACTATTGGATATTTTTTCCCTCTACAATACCCACAGTGGCAGAAGGATGGGTGTTTCAGTTTCAAAATATTTTCTGTTGCCTTCGTTGTCACTGCAATTTTGTGTAAACTTCTAGAAAAGTTCCAAATCAAATCAATAAAATTAATTTCTATAAAACGACCCACATTCATTAGTTTCAGTGAATCTAGTGATCAGAGGCATTCAGGCAAAAGTGGATTCTACGGAGGAAGACAGGATAAGAGATTATTTGAATAATAAATCGAATTTGCTTGAAAGCCCACCTAACAGGGCTGCTTTATACTGAATGGAAATGGAATAATGGATTCTGATCCTGTCATGGAATTTGAAAGACAGAGACAGAAAAGGTATTTTGGCCTAAGCAATAGAGAACGGATCTGATGACTGAGCTCTAGAGCTCCCCCAATGTTAGGAGGTCAAGAAAATAAGAGTGAAAAGGAGTGGCCAGCAAAGCAGAAGAGCCAAGAAAGTGTGGTGTGCTGAAAGCCAAGTGAATAAAGTGCTTCAATGAGGGAGTGATCAAGTACGTCAAATACTGATAAGCTGAGTAAGATGAGGACTGAGAAATGACCACTGGACTTGGCAGTGTAGAGGCCATTGGTGACTTTGACAAGAGCTATTTCAGTGGAGTGATATGATGGAAGGCTGACTGGAATGGGTTCAAGGAGAATGGGAAGAGGAAGTGGAGGGAGATGTGTGGTCAAAGAAGGTTTGTTTTTGTTTAGAGAGACACTACAGCAAATTTGTATGGCAATGGGAATGACTCTTAGAGAAAAAGTTTTGATGCTAGAGAGTGAAGACAATAAAAACATGTCCTTGAAAAAGCAAAACGATATATGGGGATCCAGTGTACAAGAGACAAGCAGAGAAGAGTAGAATCAGGAATTGTAATATTAATACAAAGCAACATTTATTAGGCACTTACCTTTGCCTCAGGAACTAAGTAATTTTACATTGATTAATATGTTTAACTCTTACAACAACCCTATTAAGAAAGTTTTATTATTGTTTCCATAATATAGATGAGGAAACTGAGGAATGGAAAGTTAAATAGGAAGTGCTGGAGCCAGAACTCCACCCAGACAGGCAAACTCAAACATCCATGCTTTTAACTACTATATTATATTGCCTTTGTAGAAGCAGAGATGATGGCACTATGAAATAGAGTACCAGGGTGGCAATCAATACCTTTTTCTGAGAGCAAGACTATTACTGTTGCTGTTGAGAAACTACAGCTGATTTTTACTTCTAGAGCCCTTCTTGTATCCTGAGCAGGGATAAATGATGTTCCAGTACTCTTCTAGGTCTGATTATATGAATGCTAAGAATTTGTTCCTTAAAAGATGACAGAGCAGTGTTCTTACCAGCTTGGAATAAAGCAGGACAATTACATTTCTTGTTCTAGACACAGACACTGTACTTAAATTATGTAACCCAACATTGCATCAGCTTTTCTGGCAGCAACATCCCACTATAGTCCCATCTTCACATCAGTCTTTTGCTCCCATATACTGTTTTTTGGACCAAATGACAATTTGATATTTATACTTACTAAATTTCATTTGATTATTTCTCCTTTTCAGTGCTGATGAAGTTAGTAAATGCTGAGAGAGAACAATGGCAGCATTGTTGAAATAAATACATGACCTCTCAAAGTGACAACTCATTCAGATGTATACATTTGGGTATGTTAAAAATTCAATCATTCTTTAAACAATCAACACATACTGTTTAACTTTGATAAAATAAGAAAGAATAAGCATACTAAAACAGTGTGGTATATTTCACTTATTATATACCAAATTCATGATATCCATGTATCATCTGTATTAGTATTTAATATTTTTAACTTGACTTTTTTTCCATAGTCTGGTAGGTGGACACATCAAATGCCCATCAAAAAATAAATACATATATGTTTAAAATAATGTTCATCTGTGTATCACCTGAAATAATTTTGATTCAGTTCAAATCAATTATGTACCACACTCTGGTAACCACTAATTTACACATGTAGAAGTAACTAACAGAATAAAAGACTGTCTCTGGGTGTGGGACTGAGGGATGGGAAGACTTGGTTTTCATACAAAGCATCTGCACGCTACATGATTTGGTACCATGTGCATGTATTACTGTACTAAAAATGAAACATTTAAGCAAAACAAAAATTGTCATACCATGTCATTTGTACTGTGCCTGAAAAAATAGTAGAAACAAAGTAACTACTCAAAAATATCTCTGTATTTCATACCTCTTTCCTAATGATTTTATAGTTTCAGCCACATACTTGTTGCTCAAAACTGACATTCAAAAACGCAAATTCATTCACAAAGTCTGAAGAGAAAAGACAGCTACTCACTGCAAAATAAAAACTTTCAATGTTTTATTTTTGACTGCAGCTGTTTACAGAAATATAGTTGCGAGTATACAAATGTTCCAATAGAAGCAAAATATCTTTTTAATATTTAACAAGTTATCACAGATAGCTAAAAACATAGATGCAAATAAAATTCCCCCAGAGAACAAACTGAAAACATCTGGCTTCAGTGCTCTGAAATCCCAACTATTAAAGCCATATACACAAAAATGTAATCCTTACATCATTGTAGGACAATGGAGGAAGGCAGTTCAGTGGTTGATCAATGTGCCCAAGCAAATAAAATTAAATAAAAAAATTTTAATGGCAGAACTGTAGTTAAACCACTTGAGAAAAGGTTAATGAAATATTTATAGTACACTTATTAAATGACTAAAAGAAAGTGAACAAAACTCAGTAAAAGCTGTCAAAAAAGTAGCTACTACTTGGAGCTTATCAACTAGGATTAAGGGAAAAAGGTGAGCAGATACATTCATTACATCAAAAGAAATTAACTCAAGTTCACTGAAATCAGTCTGTAGCTACTGAAGTTACAAATACTTTAGTGCAGGACAGTTCTTTGTTGGACACAGAAGTCTGATTCCAAACCCACTCTCAAACATCTGAGATTGTGTGTTTATGTGTATGTGTGTGTATGCTGTCCTGAGGTTCATCAGCTAAAATCATAATAAGCAATCCTTACAAAATCTTTCAAACCAGGAAAATGACTTCTGGAAAAGAAATGAGAGTGCTGGGAATAATCAAGATTTATGGTTAAACATGGGGCTTTTAAAGGTGGTATTACAAGTTAGAGTTGAATAAACTTGTGGTCAGATGCTTTGGGTACAGGAATATATTATGCAGTAAAGTGGGTAAGGGGGAAAAGGATAAGAAAGGAGGAATGCAACTAGAGCATCTCCCAACAGTTTATCTATGTATTTGCCAGCACCAAAGTTTGTAGGATAAGCCACTTACATTTCCACTGCTACTATTAAGTAAAGATAGTGCTGATTTTTATAAAGTGAATATATGTTTAAGATATTTTTATTCTGAAATGTGACCCTTTTTTCATGAGTTAACTGGTAATTTGTAAACAGTGGGAGGAAGATTAGAACAATGAGGGAGGTACGGAGATCACACAGGGAGACTAAAATGATTGAATAAATTGACATATAGTTAGTTCACATTTGCCATGCTACATACAATTGAGATGGGAGAAATGCCCAAATTATATAATGCATTATCTCATTTGTTATTTATTTTAGTAATTATATAATGCATTATCTCATTTGATATTTATTTTAGTAAGTAACTTTTGTCTGAAGCATAAACTCCCAAGGATAGCTGTATCTCTACTGCATCAGTTCATATACAAAGCAAGCTACTTTTAAAGAAGTTTTATCTATTTAAAAAAATTAAATAAGGTGCTACGTTGACCTGGCCAACCATCTTGCTATCTCAGATACAAATATAAATATGGGAAATAACAAAGAATTTTGTACTGAGAGTTGATCTAGCCAGAGCAAAACTGTAGTCTGCTGGTAAAGTAAGGGGCAATGAAACGAAAGCCCACAATATATCCATTTTATGGATAAACAGGAGACTTTAGCACCCGTCAATTATATTAGCTACTTAAATGTCATAACAGTTAAAAGAAATACAGAACATTGCACCTATATAGTTAAATCAGTCATTTAATGTAAACTTTTTAGTAAGTGGCAGAAAAATGCCAAACTGAGTTAACCAAATATCAACAAACTAATTGTACATGTACATAAACTATACTGTATTTCTACAGACAGTACTGAGAATAAATTATCATTGCCAATAAATGACTATGCATAACCAGGTTAAGCTGAATTTATATAATAAGCAATGTATAACTGTATCTGTATGAGTCAGGGTAAAAAAAAAAAAACTTCTAGATCTTGCTATATATAGTTTACACCAGTGGTTCTCAAACTGTAGCATGCAGCAGAATCACCTGGAGGGTTTGTTAAAACAGATTTCTTGGGCCCCAGAGTTTCTGATTCATTATGACTGGGATAAGGTCAAGCATCTACGTTTCTAACTAGTTCCCAGGTGACACGAATGCTGGCTGGTGGGCTGAGAACCATACTTTGAGAACCACTGGTTTACATATAATATACATGTAGAAAACTGTACACTATAATGTTCTTATATACATGACACAGAAAATATATAGGAAGAGGGCTGGTTTTAATTAACTCTCAAACATATAGATTAGCAAGCTGACATTTTAATTTTTCTAAAATGATTTGCTTAAGTGTAATAATTTTCCTTTATATAGTCAATTACATGGGGTTGCCAGGAGTTGGAATTGACTTGACGGTAACTAACAACATTTTAAAGGCTTATGTCCTACTATACAATCACTTTAGAAAACATCCACATAACACTTACATCAAATAGACTATTCAAAATAAAAAGTGACATAAGTATTCTAAATAATTAAGATGTATTCATTAAGAAGGAATCATCGCTATACAGCATTCTTGGCTTCTTTGGAACGATTAAAGTGCATAATATCAATAGGGTACTAAGAATATTGCATAAAGGTTTGCTAACGTCAGTGCCACTAACAGTCATGGAAACACATGGGAAAAGCAGCTCTATCCCAAAGGTACTACCATCCTGACCTGTTGCTGATGGTCTTTTCTTCAGGTACCACCACTTGTGGTAAGGAACTGGAATGTAAGCAAAATTAACAAAACAACAGGGACACTCAAAATCTAACTGCATCTGGTAGAAGGGAATTTTATCACCGTAATTCTGGAGAGATTCAGATATAGCTTCTTCCATTTCCTTTAACATCTTCCTAGGCAGATTAACTGAGGTTCTGGTGGTCAAAAATACACTATAATGAATTACTTGGCCCTGTCTAGTTAGAATAATTGATTTTACCAGGTTTTTACTTAAACTATGTTTTAGTGATTTATTTCATCCATCTAATTAAGATCACAGCAAATGCTTTAAACACTTCATTGCTGAAATTTCAGTATACACATTTGTTTGCATGGAGTCTGTAAGACCTATCCTTAGTTTGTTAAAGACAAATTTATAATTTATATAAAGCCTTGACAGTATAATTCTATAATTTTTTATTTACCTTCCCTCTAATAGTGCATCTTTTCTGTTCTTCTTATGTCAAAGGAGGTTAGACTTAGTGATGATGTTTTCTATTGTGATTAAGAAATGGAGGAAAAAATGTTCTACATCTTACTTTGATAATTAGCATCTGGGGTCTTAAAAGCTTCCAACTGGCCATCTAAGATACATCTATTGGTCCCGTCTCATCCAGAGCAAAGGGTAATGAAGAAAACCAAACAAACAAGGAAAATATTAGTCCAAAGGACTAATGGACCACATGAACCACAGCCTCCACCAGCCTGAGCCCAGAAAAACTAGATGGTGCATGGCTAACATCAACAACAGCTCTGACTGGGATTACAGTAGAGGGTCCTCAACAGAGTGGAAGAAAAATACAGAACAAAATTCAAATTCACAAAAAAGACCAGACCTACTGGTCTGACAGAGACTGGAGGAACCCCCGAGACTATGGCCCCTGCACACCCTTCCATTTCAGAACTGAAGCCATTCCCGAAGTTCACCTTTCAGCCAAAGATCAGACAGGCCTATAAAACAAACAATAACACACATGAGGAACGTGCACCTTAGACCAATCAAGTATACAAGACCAAATGGGCAACATTTGCTCAAAAGCAAAGATGAGAAGGCAGAAAGGGACAGGAAAACTGGACAAATGGGCACAGGGAACCTGGGGTGGAAAGGGGGAAAGTGCTAACACATTGAGGGGCTTGCAACCAATGTCATGAAACAATTTGTATATAAATTTTTGAATGAGAAACTAATTTACTCTATAAACTTTCACCTAAAGCACAATTTAAAAAAAAAGGAAGAAAGAAATAGAGGAAAGAATGGCTGAATGGAAAAATTTAGAGTTGGGACCTATTAAAACCATTTCTTTACGTGTTTTGGCAATAGTGAAAAAATAAAATTGTAAGAAGGGGGCACTATCAAGATAAAAAGGCACTTTTCCATAATATTTAACATAGATATGAAATATTAATTTAGAAATTTCCTGAAAGAGAAAGTGGAATAAAAACAAATTTTATTAATAAGTGAGGCTAGTATGATGTGAAAATAAATGGAGATTAAAGAAGTAAGTACAGCACTGGGACAATTCACAAATGATATTTTAGCTATTATTCTGATATTTACTCCATTATGAACATTATCTCCACAATTTTGCTCTACTGACACAAATAGGCAGAAGAGAAAATCTCTTTTTAATACGTTATAAGACTCCACTCACCCACACACTAGGGTATACACTTGAGCCATTTCTCTAGGAAATCTGCTTAACTATCCAGTCTCCCTCTTTTCATTAAGTCCCTCCAGGTAACCAAAGGTATGCAGGTTAGGGATGAAGCCTCTGGTCATAAAGCAGAGTAAAGCAAATAGGACCCATATAATTTTGAATTAAATAGACAAAAATCAATTAAGAAAGAGACACTAGAACAGAAATTTTTACCATAAAAATGAAAAAAATTCTCAGATTTCTCATAGTAAATATTTATAAACCATGTTGAATTTGAGACTTTAACTATTAAAGCAGTTTATTCTGCTCTTTATTTGTTGATGCTTTTCAGATTTCACTTGTCCAAAACAAGTATTTATAATGCTTAAACATTACTTCCTAACTACATCATACACAATATTATAACAGAGGGAGGAAGGGAGAGAGAAAGGAAAGAAAATCCTTCATTTATACTGCTTCTATAATAAACAAAGCCCTTCAACAACCTGTTCTAGGGAGATTGGCTGAAACAGATTTGCACTGGCTAAATAACAACATGATACTCTAATTACAAAGATAAAATGATAAAGCTCAAAAGCAAGATCTGACTTCTAGTTAACTTCTCCCATGTTGGTGTGGATAGATAACGGAATGACAGTAAGGAATAAAAGACACATTAGCACTCACGCACGCGCGCGCGCGCGCACACACACACACACACACACACACACACAGATAAGCTCCAAGCATCAGTGTGAGTTGCTGAAAGTAAGAAAAACTAAATATAACAATTTAAAGAAATAAAATGTGGTTCACAGTTTATTTAGGTCCTTCTGCCATAAAATAAATCGAATAAACTGAGTCTCTCTCATATGTAGCTATAACTTGTGACAGTAATCTGGAAATTGCATTTATAGCACAAGTATCAACCACTGAGCTAACTCTTTGATAAGAAGACATACTTTTTGTAACCAATTCATATATTCAGAATTCTGTACTTAACATTGACCTTTAGGGGTAAGAAACAACAATGTTTCAAAAAAAAAATCCATCTTATTGAATAAGAATATGGTTAGCATAGCACAGCCCTTGTATATCCACAAAATTTATGAAAATAAAAATTGGGTTTTCCGCTTCCATCCAACCAAACCACTGCAGTTCAGGTGTATGTCCTGTTCTAAACTTAGGTATTATAAAACAGAAAATTGGTCCCTGGTGACTTTGTATCGGCAATCAACATTTCACCACCGTAAACTTCTTGCTAAACAACAGAAGTCAGCACACAAGCCAGTCTTCTTGCCACCACTTCATCCATAGCACAGTGTTGACATTCTAAGTGGAACTTGGTGAACAAATAGACTTCCTGAGTCTCCTATGTAATCTCTTAGAAAAAAATTCAGAAAACTCAGAAATAACTTTATGGCATTTTATTTCTACTACTTATTTTTATACCTGCTGGCAAGGCTTTCTCTGAGATCACGTCATCCTTCTAAAGTTAGAATTTTGTATTTTAAAACTGAAGCACTGGATTGTGTGGCTGATCCTTCTCATACCCTGAACTATACTGGGTAATTTTTTTCTGATACAGGTGGGGGAAGAAGTGATATACTGAGGAAAATGGTTTTGGTTCAGAGAATTTATAAAGTAGCTCTGGATATTACAAGATGGGAAAAATGTTATTAAAATTACAAACATGTTTTTTTTTTTAGTGTCTTTATAAATAAAAGGCATAGAATACAGAAAGCCAATTAATAATAACAACAATAATAAAATATTAAATATATAGTGAGCAAAGACTGAATGGCTCATTCTTGTGAAACACCATTTGACACAACTGCTTACATGGGTTTCCTTACGCTAACATTTTGCTGAGTGAAGGACCCAGCAAACACACAGTAAGCTGCCTTTAACCCACTAATAACATCAAGGTACTGCCTGATGGAATGGCCACAGATGAACAGGTCATTTGTTTCAAAAGATACTTAAATACTCAATAAAGACATAATAACCCCTCCCCCCTCCCC